CTGTTTTTAGCTCTGCCATGTAGTTACTACCTGGAGTGATGAGTTGTGCTCCTACCCAGAGGGTCCTCACCTTTACCCTGAGCTAATCCCTGCCCCACGAGGCTGAGACGAATGGGCAGCCCTGACAGCATCAGGCTGGGACATCTGGGGTCTCATTTCTTCTTCCTGTTTGTCACATGCCACTACATTTCCTTCAGGTCGTGTCTGTGAGCTAACACCTGAGAAGTTTATCACCCAACGAACTGATAGAAAAATGTAATTTGAGGATTAAAAACTAACAATTTTAGATGTTAAGTTTTAGATGTCAGAGGATGCCCATCATCCTTGAGGCTAAATTTGAGAGTTCAGCCCACATTTCTGCTTCTTTGTGTTGTGAAAGGCAAGTTTTCATTTGGTTTTGGTTATGCTATGGCTAACCATAGGAGAGAGGGGTCACATAAGCTATCCATGTTGTAACCTTTTCACGAAGCTTACGCCAATTCGTCTGACATATATGAAACTGAGAATTCATTTAATGATTAAATTATAAAGTATAACAGGATTAAAAGAGTAAGAAACAATAGTACTCCTGAGATTCAAAAAAACACACCACACAAGAAATTCTCCTTGCTTCCCGAAGAAGCAATTTCAGATAATTACAGGAATAAAACTTTATTTTCTTGGCTTCTGATGATCTTTTGGAAGAAGTCAACAAGAGTAGCTCGAGGAAACTGTCGCCTTAAAAAGCAAAGATTTGGGTCTCAGCAGCTCAGCAATTTAAATAAAGAGCCCATTTCACACCGCGCCTTCTTCCTTGCGCTGTTTCTCTAAATTGCAGCGCTGCCAAGCAGTGCCTGCTGCTGGTCCCCAGAAGCCTCTCAAGTTGGCATCGATTTCCACGGTGCGCTGCCAGCTGCCTTCTGCGCGCGGGGCGGTGGGGAAGCTCTCCTCGGGCCTCTGCTGAGAAAAACCCAGTCGCGCTCCCCGCGGGGAGAGCGTGGGAGCCAGACGCGCCCTGCCCAGCCCAGCCCTCCTCCAGGAGTCCTCCCGCCTCATGCAGCTTTCTGTCGCACCCCCACCCGGGGCCGTGGGAGCAGTGGCCGTGGTGGACTTGCAACAAAGACACCCCGTGACTTCCTCCTTCGCCCTCGCTGTGTTTCTGAAGATTTCTCTCCCCTCTTCTCCTTCGTTTCCTAGCATGCCGTCAGACTTCCTGAAAGTGCCCCCAAAATTCCAACGGTGGCTACGCGTCTGTCCCTTTCTACTGCCCCAACTCTTTAGCCCTCTGCCTGGTCACAAGTTAAAGTAAAAGACCAATTCTGCTATTATTTATTTTAAATATTTGTTTCTAACAGGTTAACTGAGAATTGTAGTTATGGTCTCAGAAAGGTTTTTAAAACGTCAATTTCACAGGGACTCATTTATAATGATAATATCTAATAATAAACTTTAAAGTTTTACTTAAAATAAGTGACATATTCTCCATAAATAACGAAACAAAGATTTACTATCCAGCACTGTTGATACATAACATTTTCATTTTAGCAATGCAAACCTGATCTAGATTCCATATCTATTTATCTATCTATCTATCTATCTATCTATCTATCTATCTATCTATCTATCTGTCTGTCTGTTATCTATCATCTATTTACTTCTATGCTTCAGTTTGTCTCTAGAGATTCTTTACCTTTGCTTTTTTTAAAAAACACCCCAAATATCAATCAGCACAAAATCACAGTGATTCATAAAAAATAATACTCTCTTTGTATACCTGATAGAAAATTCAGTTTTCCAAATGTTTTCAAATAACTGTAGGTGCCATTTCCAGATGTTGTCTTATCCGAGACCCCCTACTTCTGCGATAAGAAAATATGCAGTGTGAAATCTGCTCTAATCATTTTCCCTACCAGCATTGGACAAATATTTGAGGCCAATACATTTAGGTGGACCGAGCATATCTTTAAGATTTAAAAAGGTACATAGAGTTATTTGGAACCAAATGAAATCAAATCTTCCTGAATTGGCAGTATCAACAGTGTTAAAAATGTCATAGAATCTAATACTTATTTTGTAGCATTTGAAAGACCCTGAAAATAACCTTGGATTTACTGGAGATTTTTATGCTTTTCTGTTTTCTGTTTTCTGTTTCTTCTGAAAACCATTGACTAATTCATAAAGCTGACATCATTCTCCAATGTAGAAATACCCTTAATCTGTTGTCATATCTGAGAGTTTAGTAGTTGAAAATATTGATTGCATGTTTGTGTTCTGAAAAAAATTTCTTTTATATCTTTTAAGCCACTAAATCATGATTTGAAGTGAAAATTTTTCCATATTTGGTTGTCAGCCAAAAATATCAGTGGGAACCAGCTTCTGTAGGTCTGGTAATGGAGAGCAGGGACCAGCCAAATTCACGTTTGGTGTTAGTGTGGTGTTTCACATTTTAAATGCATTCATATTTAGCAATGGATTTGAAAGAAGCTTTCCTGTGACAAGTTCCCAGAAGCTGCCCTTTCTAGGGTATTTTTCTTTAATCTCCTTTATAAATTGTACTTCTTTAACAATTGCCTCAAGACACGAACAATATTAATCTGTACTTACATTTCTGACATTGATTCTTTATTATTCCTTTTTTTTTTTTTTTTTTTTTGGTGGAACCAGGATTGAACTCAGGCCCTTGCGCTTGCCAGGGAAGCACTTATTGCACTGAGCCATCTCCCCAGCCCAACATTGATTCTTTTAGACTTTTTTCCACAAACAGACTTTCCTAATGGTTTCCCTAATTCACCTGAATTACCCTATAACAGAAAACAGTGATGATTTGACAAATACAAGACTTACTGACAATGTTCTTTCTTTTTTTTTTTCTTGTACCAAGAGCTAAACTTACAACCTTGCACTTGTGCCACTAGGCCAAATCCCTAGCCACAATTTTCAATTGTTATTTGTGAGTGGATAGCTTATGACAACACCATCTTAATTGGGAAAAGAGGAACCTAAAGTTTGAGCATTCTCACTGAAAGCATGCATCATTTTTGGTTATGTCTGCTTCACAAGGAGAAGCTAGGGAATTCAAGCCTATGTATTTCTCCACTTCTTTAGCAAACATTTATCGGACTTTCATAGCACCTGAACTTTGATTGATGTATCTGAAAAAGGAAATAAGAAATGATCGTCAAGGTTATATCAGGCAGCTCCTAATTCCCTTCAGAGGAAATCTCAGATTTGGCCATACAGTAGTAGAACCATGGAGTGGAGGAGTGGTCAGAGGACGCTAAGTTCCTCCTCCAGTGCCTTATGTCACACGTGACTGTGGCCAGGTTCTGGAGTGCTGGGTTTTCTTTCCAGACATTCTTTCCAGGTTCTTCTTCTCCTGTTGAGACAAGTGGAAAAGATAACAAGACTTTACCTTTATTAAAAATAAGAAAAGAGACCTTCTCTGCAGAGCAAGTACAGGCCTCTTAAAAATCGGGTAAGAAGTGCAGTCAGCCGGCTGACAACAGACACAGCGGCCAGAGGTGGCAGCCAATGTTTGTATCTCCTTCTCATGGTGACGTCGGGTCTGGACTGTCCTATCACAAACCTGCTAGAGCTCTGGTGAGAAGAGCTGAAGATTGCACTCTCTGTTTGGTTGCAGAGGCGGGGCCTTGGCGATGGTTTTGCGCGTGTGTCCCAGGGCTCTGTGATTGCCACCCCGTGCCCACACCTTAATCTCTTGCCTCGTTATGGCCAAGCCGCCAAACTTAGAACCTGAGGTAGAGAAAAAGAAGTAGCTAAAAATCTCATTATCGAACTGGTTGGCTACTCTGTGGGAGTGACTAAACTCGGTATCACTTTGAAAATCCAAATTGCAGTTTGGGAGAGGGGCTACTGGTGACCACGCAGTGGGCAAGAAGATGAGAAGAAGGCTGAAAACATACTAGGCCTAACTTCTTTCTTCTGGCCAGTCTGTGTTCTCCACACCTCACATCTAAACAGTGACAGAACGTTATAATGAAGATCGCTGTGTGCTTATCTTGAGTTTCAGTAAGGAGGCCTTCCATACAAGGAAAACATCATCTGTGCTTCTTTTACGTCCAAGCAAAAGGCTACAGTAAAGGGCACTAGGGCCATCAGAACATGAAACAGAAAAGCAAAGAGCAGTAAAGCGATCTAGGCCTAGGCCTGGCTGTGGATAGCAGCTGCTTGTGAGCATGTCTGAGAACAGCTTCTATGGAGCCTCCCGACCCTCAGGAGTGTGAAGGCCCCGTGGAGGCCACGGCTGCTTCCAACGACCACAAAACCTCACAATTGTACCACAACTATCAGTTGTGTTCACACTGCAGCTGTTCATGTGTACTGACGTGTGGTTTTAATAAAGAATTATTAATAAAAGAATAATAAAGAATGGAATGTTTTTAGGGCTCTCCTGTGATGACTTTGTTCTTTATTCAGAACCTGACTGAATGAATGTTAGGAAGTTTGGCCAGGGTGAGTGACTCCCACTACCCACTCCAGGACAGTCCACCAAAATCGGAGCCATCCATTCCCTTCTGGTCACTGTTGCCTCCTGTCGTTACATCTGGACACGTAGCTCTGGGAAAGAGACACGAAGTAGTTTCCCTTACATGAAACATAAAAGGAGTAATCCTACATCAATTCTAGTCAACAAATCTCATTTTTCACACTATTTAAAGCTGTTATGAAGATTATGCCACACCAAATAGTAAATCCGTCTTGAAAGACACATGTATTGTTTGTAACAATGGAAATAAATCTACCCTCTGCAGTGAATTAGTAGGACTGAACCAGAGAGTTCAGGAGTTCCCAGGACTTTCTTCCATAGATGAGAGCAAGTGATGAATTGCCTTCAGAGAAGGGGAAGTCCAGGGACACCGGTGTTTATACTAAGACATACGCAAAATGGTTATGGAGTCATGGAAGCAGGTCTAGCTACTTCCTCTTATTTTATTGCCAGTATAGACACTACTTCTTAGTTATCAATGAAAGGAACGTCAATGTCTTTGTTTTCTTTGCAGGTTCAGGACGCATTTAGATGCCGACTGAGAAACTGCCAGGACCCGATCAATGCAGACTCATCAAGTTCTTTTCCTAATGGGCATGCTCAAATCATGGTGAGCTTTTATCTGCCCTCTGATTGTTTCTTAAGCTGTGATTCCTCAAGAGAATTTTTTTTTAAATCTTTACTTGAAAAATAGTGTAAAAATCCCATTTTGCATGGCGTTGGCTTTAGTTCATTGATGACAGGCCCAGAATTTAATACCCAATAGAGATCTTGTCTGGATTGCTTGTACATCCAGGATCTATTGCTGGTGACTTGAGTGTCCACTGAAGATTCTATGTCCCACTGCAGTTCCTCCTTCTTGCCCAGGACTGGGGGAAGTAATGTGTGCACACTCAGAAACTAGGAACTTACATGTCTAGTCTTTTTTTTTTTTTTTTTTTTTTCATTTAGTACAGGGTCTACAGGGTCTCACTACAAACTGTTTTCAGCTTCCAAGTGCTGGGATTAAGGGCGTTCGCCACAGCACCCAATCTCAATCCCTGTCTCAGTACGCCCTGGGGGCTGGGTCGGCAGGACACAAGGGAATCAAACCCCGGCCACTGTGGTCTGCCTAAGCAGGCGCTTTAGTCCTACATGTCTAGTCTTAAAGCAGCAGTTTCCAGCCATGCTGCGTGTTAGAAACGTCAGAGGAGCTACACACCAGACCTCCTAGATCAGAATTGGTTGGGGGTGGATCCCATGTGTGGCTGAAAATGAAAAGCACAGTCCTAAAGTCTAAGGAGTAGCCACACTTCCAGTGAAAGGTCCAAATTGTACAAGAGCCTTGAGTGTGCTTGAAATTAAGGGATACTGAGGACATAAGTGCTTTGGTGTATTTTAGAAATGAAATACAATTTGAGCTATGTCATCAAAAGTAAATACTGATTATAAAGGAAGCTTTCATAGTATATTTAACTTATTGTGAACATTTTTTGGGCTAGGCAACATAAAAATAGACTAAACAATGTATGAGTGACTGTGATTTGAGAAAAATAAGTAATTTCCTACCCAAACAATTAGATAACTACACAAATCATTGATTTAAACTATTTATCAAAAAAGACCAATGATCAGAAGAACTTGCATATCACAGTTCATTTATTTTTAAAATTTTAAGCATGCTGTTTTATTTTTAAAATAAGTTTGAGGAACTATATAGGTGGGCATCGGAGGAACATCATTAATGTTAAAATTTAATTTCTAAACCAGAGAGCCCTGTGTTACATTTGAGTGACAAATTCACCATGGAAAGAACCTTGTTTGACTAGTAATGGTTTTCCAAAGGTGCGTTATAATGGCTGGCCGGTTAGTTCAGTTAGTTAGAGCATGGTACCAAAGATGCATTATAAAATATAAATAACCCAAAATACAAATAGTAAAACATTTATTTAATATACACATCATAGTGCATGTTGGGGTTGAAAGATCAGGATTACTAAAGCTAGAGAGTTGGACTCCTTCAAACTTCTACCCTTTCGTATATAGTGATTTTGTGCAAATTGAAGATGACATTAGTTATTGTATCACCTTATTCAAATTGTGTGTCATGTTCCCTCTGATTTTATTCAAGTTTGGTTTCTAAGAAGTTCTCCTGAAAACGATCTGATTAGTCCTTGAAAACTTCTCTTATGCAAAACAATAAGCCTGCATTGCTCAGTCACATATCTTTAAACTTCAGCAAATTGGATTATCAAGTTACTTGAGGTCTTCATTAAATGATGGTCTGTGCCTTTTTATTTCTTGTTACAGACAGACTTTGAAAAGGATGTTGACATTGCTTGCCGATCAGGTAAGAATATTTGGGTCTTACAAATATAATCCTTGGGGATGTAGGTCATTCCTATGGGTTTTGATGTTTTTAAAAAGGTATGACCTCTACACCCCATTTTTAAAGAATTGCATAATTCTTTTTCTGCTTAAACTCAACAATTTCAACACCCGCATAATGCCATTTTAGACTATGAATGTTCTCACACCAAAAAAATATTCCTTCTTGGCCTACGTGTAATTGGACATGATATTGCTTCTCGGCCTTTTGGTTAAGACCAAGTGTAATTGGACATTATAAATACTGTACTTACTTTGACCATACCAACTTCAGTGGACAAATGTATTAATTCAATGTGTGTAAATTTTTAAAGGATTTCTACCCAGTGGGATGAAGCTTCCACTGACTACCTCTTTCAAGAAGTATGTTAATGAACAGAACTTCTGAAACACTTCAGGGGGAAAGCCTTTAAGAAAAACAAGTGAGCGGAGTGTGATGGCACACGCTGTGTCACCAGCAGGGACAGCAAGGACAGCAAGCTTGAGCCTATTCTGGGCAATGAAATGAATTAATGGATCTGTGGCTCACAGCATAAGTAAAACAGGGACTGATGATGTGAGTCAGTGCAAAGGCTCTGGGCTCAGTACCCAGTAAATAAATGAATGAATGTCAAGTTTGTTTCAAAAGCTGCATAATTTAATTAAAAATCTTCTAGAATAGATTCATTAAAAAGCTCCTGTGGTCATCTATCTTTCCCCTAAAGAGTCACATAGAGTTTTGTGTTTGTTTGTTTGTTTTATTTTGTGGTGAGATTACAGGTGTGTGACCACACCCAGTCTCTGTGGCCAGCTCAGCGTGCCCAGGGGTGGGCCTGGCATGGTGTGTGGTGCCAGGGATTGAACCCCAGGTCTTGCACTTGCCTAAGCAGGTGCTTAGTCTGCTGAGCTATCTCACCGGCCCTCACATAGAGTTTTGAAGACAATGCAGTGAGAGTCTAGGGAGCTGAGCCATGCGCTTTCACATACACATTAGCTGTGGGTGACCTGTGATCTGCAGAATGAAGAGTGATATAATCTGTGTCATGAGTGAACAAGTAACCAACATCCATAATTATTTTAGAGATTAATTGTTTCAGTTTACTTTAGGCAATTGTTCAGTAAGGCAAGAGACAGCTTCATATAATAATAGAGACAAAAACTAACCTTCTTCCATGAACTATCATGTGCTACTTCACAGTTCTTCACAAGGACATTGGTCCTTGCCGGGCAGCAACGATAACAGGGACACTGTCCAGGATTTCTTTAAATGATGACGAGGAAGAAAAAGGCACAAACCCAGAAGGGCTGAGTTACTCCACCTTGCCTGGAAAGGTCATTTCCAAAGTCGTCATCCAGCAGCCCACAGGCCTGCACATGCCCATGGGCATGAGCGAACTGAGCAGTCAGTGTCTGAAGACAGAGCACAGTGAGTTGCGGAGAACTGTGTACCTGTGCACAGATGACAATTTAAGAGGGGCTGATATGGACATAGTCCACCCTCAAGAAAGAATGATGGAAAGTGACTATATTGTGATGCCCAGGGGCTCTGTGAATACCCAGCCATCACTGAAAGAGGAAAGCAAAATGAATATTGGCATGGAGACCTTGCCTCATGAAAGGCTATTGCACTACAAAGTGAACCCCGAATTTAATATGAACCCCCCTGTAATGGACCAGTTCAGTATGAACTTAGATCAACATCTTGCACCCCAGGAACACATGCAGAATTTGCCCTTTGAGCCCCGCACAGCTGTGAAGAATTTCATGGCCGCTGAGTTGGATGATACTGCAGGACTTTCGCGGAGTGAAACTGGATCCACAATATCAATGAGTTCCTTAGAGGTGAGTGGTAAAAAGTGGCATTCAGTTGAGTCCTGTGTCACTGCTTTTGGGGAAGAGAGCTCCCATTAGCTTTTTCAGTCATAGATCATATAAGAATTTGTGGCATATTGGGATTAAGGTTCTGGAAATAGCATTTTTCTAGTACTGCCTTAGAATCACATAATTCAAGATGACAGAAAAAATAAAAATTTCTCACTGTATTTAAAGTGATACCTCTCAGCTGTAAGTCTTTAATAATAGGAATCAAGTGGGACATTCATTAAAAAGTATCAGAAGATCCTTGAGGGTGGTACAGTAGTGTCTGGGTGTCATCACAAACTTAAACCAAGATCTGGAAGTTTTTCTAATGAAACTTGTTAAAAATAGCAAAGTGAAATATTTCTCAGAGTTTTATCATTACACAAATTATGGCCTAATTATCATTATGTTAGTTCAGTCTTATTCAAAGTAAACTCTACCCTGAACTATGACAGAATGATGACCACTGAAACTATTGGTTATATATTGTCAACTGTCGGGAAGGATTTCTTCTGAACATGGTAGAGTCAGGACTCTGAGGTTTAGCTACATAACCCTTCTGCTGCATAACCTAGCAAAAGTGGTAAACTCCATTCATCCCTTTTATTTAACCTATAGTATAGAAAAGAGCCAAAGCTATCATCATCAATATTGTATTAGAGTTTGTCAAGTGAAAGCCAAGGAATATAAAGTCTGATTTCTGTTGATATACCTCCTGTTAAAGATCTGCATGTGACTTCTATATCCTTTACTTTGAAGTTTTGCTGAAAGTCTACTTCTGATTTAGGTATTCAGTATATGACACAAGGCATGCATTTTCACACATAGTACCGATTCTTACAGTATGGCAAATTATTGTATAAGACACTAGAACAATGCCATTGTTAGGTGTTTGACCTTCCCATCAGAGATGTTCAAAAGTACTGAGGCAACTCTTCCTCCCCTTTGCAAAGCATGACTTCTCCTTGGCCAAAGTAAAGAGAATCATGAGAGGAGAAAGAAGTGTAGTGAATCCTACATTTTTAAGATTCTTCTTGATTGGGCCATGAAAATTCTAGACCCAAATGGTAGGATCTAGGAGAAAGTTCTAAGTTCTAAATCACCCTCAAACACGATAAATTTTTTGGTGGATGATCAAGTAGAAATCATTCCCAGAACTAAAGGCACAGATAGTAGCAGTGAAAACAAGCACAACACGGCTGGAACTTCCTTTTGGACAAAAGCATTCTAATATAACAAAGTAGTTATTTGTTTAATCATAAATTTCTTATTCCAGAGACTGTCTTGTCTGGTATAATAAAGACCACAAAAATATAAACTACAAAGGGTTTATCAAAAAACACAAATATTTTCAGAAGATGTGTAGTGAGTGGCTATATAGTATTTTAATATCAGTGGCACTTTGTAATGACCGCAAGGGAGTGTTCCACATAGAATAGCACTTGTCAAGATACTAGGAAGAGGGCTGGGGAGATGGCTCAATGGAATAAGTGCTTCCCTAGCAAGTTCAAGGGCTTGAGTTCAATCCCTGGTTCTGCAAAAAAATAAATAATTAAATTTTTTAAAAGATGCTAGGGAGATTTCAATGGAATTCTTTTAAAATATTTTAGTTATTGGAAAAATGTTTAACATTTAAATGCCTAAAAACCTAGCTGGGTTTGGTTTGCTCAAGTTATGTGAATGTGAACAAAAGACTGTGTTTTCTAGCTACCATTTTGTCCACCACATAATTTTTGTAAATCTTTATATCCTGATTATTAAGTATAAGCATTGTATATGACAGTTATTCAGCCAAAAGATCTGCATTTAAATTACTTCAAAGCCATAAGACTTACATCTTGAAAAGAAATGAAATTCATGACTCCAAATGAAAACTCGGTTCCTTATTCTCATTCTTTAAAAGTTTAATAGTTAGTAACTGCTTAGGGTGACCATTGTAGGAGACAACTGAAAGAGAATAGATAGATGTGGGAGAGAATAATAAAAATTTGCATTTATATAGCATCTTTCATTAGCATATCCTCCAATCACCTTAAACCATGAATTAATTAATCTTCACAGCACCTCTGTGCAGTGGATAAGTTGTGAGAATCTCCAGAATACAGTCATTTGTTCAAGGTTACAGAGCGAGTGCGTAGCAAGTCCAGGAAGAGAATCATTTTTTCTTTCTGTGATCAGTTTTATACCAAGCAGAAGAGACAAAAAAAGAGCCTGGACATTAGCAGGCAGATAACTTTCAAGTTCTTCTGAGTATGTAATAGACACGTGGTCTTAGGATGAACAAAGATGTAAAATGGTAAAGCCCGTGGACCAGAAGTACATACGGCTGGCAGCACCACAGATAGGGCTGTTGTCCAGCGTATAAAGTCAAGGGTGTGGCTTTCCTTCTGAACACAGTGACGTACTGGTGAGCAGAGTTGTCAGCTTTCCCAGATGGAGTCTGTCAGGCTGTTGAGGAAGATGGCATTCTGACAATAACAGAGGAAAAGTAGGGAGCAGGGATCCGTAGTAGTCAGGTGATGTCTCAGGCACTAAAGGAGAATATGAAGACAAAAGCAGGTAAATGTAAGAATTACACAAGGCCCTTCGCCCACCCTGAATGAACAGCAAGATGAAATCCACAGGCTTATCCATCTGGGGAAGCTGGTGCTACACAGGACAGCCAGGAGATAGACGAGATCGGGCACGTTCAAGGTGGTATGGCCGTAGACGCCAGGAGATAGTATCAAAATGTCTACCTGACTTCAAGGAGAAATGAGTTTTACACATTGCTAATGCAGAAAGAGATAAAAGGGAAAAATAAATGATAGCAGAAGCATAAGTTATAGCACAGAACTTAGTATTTATGAGGAAAATCAAAAATTGAAGTAGGGAAAAAAGAAAACCAAAGAGACAGAGGGTGAGTGGGAGCAGGATTTATTCAGATAAACTGGAGGTCCGTACAGAACAAGGGAGACTGCCCAACAGAAAGCAAGTTCTGCAGAAAGCCCACGTTCTATTGAGGTTATCCCCCTAGCCCCAGTTATTGGCTATGAAATGTCAGATAAGCTCAGGAAGTTCTTTTTTTTAAATTTATTTATTTATTTATTTATTTATTTTTATTTTTCAACAAATAATACACTGCATATATTCTTCTTAGTGGTTAATTGCTGTACAAGATGCGGACTTGTGATCCTATTTACAAACACCATTAGAACAAATCATTCTATTCATTAACAGAATGTAACTATATATCTATCCCAACCACTTTGAATACACAGATACAAAATGGACATTCATCTGTATACCCCATTTTTTCTAAGTTCCGTTATTGAATATTATAGGTGTGTAAACTCAGCAAAATATTCTAAAAGAGTCCAGTAGCCCATAATAGCGTTGGGTCTTCTGTTTAACTGGCAATGTCAGAAATTATTGACCTGAGTCCCCCACAGCTCAACTTAACAGCATGGCTTTATTTCATATAATTTCGTCTTCATACTTTTCTGCTGGATGGTTAAGACCAAGGTAAAGCAGGACCTATGCAACAAGAGTTGTAGCTTTTTGGTCTGAGAAGGTCAGTGAAATGCCCTCAGGATTTGTCCTGAGATCCTGTACCTCAGATTGTAGAACCTTTATCAGTGCAGCCATGTGGATGAGTCACGGCCATTGCTTGGCCAATGTGCTCTCTGTGAAAGCCTGAGAGAGTGTCTTCTCCCCATGTGACTCTCCTTAGGCCCACTCTATTTCATCGATCACTTTCCTCTTTGGCCCCATAATCTTCTTGATCAGAAAATTTGGGACACTACCGAGGCACATGACGTTACAGTACAAGTTCTCATATGTCCGCTCAGGAAGTTCTTGACATGAAAGCATATCTAGAGTTTCTCCATGCACACTATCATCTTGTTTCCTCATTTCTGGTAATATCTCCCTCACTGTGGTCATTCCCAGAATATGCTTGTTAAGGAATTCTGGAAACTTTAGATTTTGGATTTCCATGATGACAGAATAATTACGCTACAAAGGTCTCAGACCTAGGTGTGCTCTGGCTGCTTGGCTTACAGTTAAGAATGCACCTGGCATCAGCACGTGGTCATTCATTAACCTTTCACTGATTAATGAAACCTATTGAGTGCGAGGTGTATATAAAGAGAAAACAAACAAGCAAACAAATTATTGCCATGAAAGGGAGTGGAATAGGAAATAGAGAAGCAAGATATATGGCGTACAGGTATAGATTCTCTGTGATAAATCTTATCATTATGTATATCTAAAATGTACCAATGTATTTTTTAATGCAAAAGCAAACAAAAAACAAAGGGATGTACCACCAAGCTTTACAAACACTTGAGGGTCTGAAATCTAGTTTAAATCTTAGATTGTACTGTAGTCCTATTGGCTTATTTTTCTGAGAGATCATAGGTGAAAGAGAGAAGTCAGTAGTTGTTTTGAATCTCTGAGACACTGGTATTAATTAGCTTATAAATGCGCATGTCCTAGGCCTGTTCACACCTGTTCTGTGAAAGACTCTGTGTCCATGACTTCCGACTGGATGAGGCTAGCAGCACTGCCTGGATACTGGCGGAGGGGAGAGGCCAGCACTTGGGAGCCCTACTCCCTCTTTCTCCCTTTTCCTACTTCCACACAGCACTTCCTGCTTCTTCCGGAAGTGCCCACCCAAAGCTGCCATCCCATGAGCATCCAGCCAGAGAGGCCCATTGCTTCCCCTCATGCCAATGCCCTGGTTGCCCTCTGGTCTCCTGTACCACCTCTTCGCTCCTCCATCACTTGCATTCTTAAGCAATGTGTTGCTGACATGTAAACACTAAAATGATTTCTGTTGTTTTACCTGGCAAATCTCGCCTTAATTTCTCTAATCTCAAAATTATTTTATCAAAAACATGAAATTTTCCCACTTTGGATTTTCTATCTATGGATAAACTCACCTATGGTATTTGAAGATACTCTCAAAAAAGCCTGGCTCAGTCTATAACAGTGAACCA